ATTCCCGTTATTCCTGCCCCGTTCCCAATCCCATTCCCATTCCCATTCCCGTTATTCCTGCCCCGTTCCCATTCCCATTCCCATTCCCGTTATTCCTGCCCCGTTCCCAATCCCATTCCCGTTCCCATTCCCGTTATTCCTGCCCCGTTCCCAATCCCGTTCCCACCATTCCTGTTCCCCTTCCCGTTATTCCTGCCCCGTTCCCAATCCCATTCCCGTTCCCATTCCCGTTATTCCTGCCCCGTTCCCAATCCCGTTCCCACCATTCCCGTTATTCCTGCCCCGTTCCCAATCCCATCCCCAATCCCAATCCCATTCCCATTGTTCCCATTCCCATTGTTCCCAATCCCATTGTTCCCATTCCCATTGTTCCCATTCCCATTGTTCCCAGTCCCATTGTTCCCAGTCCCATTGTTCCCATTCCCATTGTTCCCATTCCCATTGTTCCCATTGTTCCCATTGCCATTGTTCCCGCCATTCCCAATCCCATTGTTCCCATTCCCATTGTTCCCATTGTTCCCAATCCCATTGTTCCCATTCCCATTGTTCCCATTGTTCCCATTCCCATTGTTCCCATTCCCATTGTTCCCATTCCCATTGTTCCTGGCATTCCCATTGTTGCCATTCCCATTGTTCCCATTCCCATTGTTCCCATTCCCATTGTTCCTGGCATTCCCATTGTTGCCATTCCCATTCCCAATCCCATTGTTCCCATTCCCATTGTTCCCATTCCCATTGTTCCCATTCCCATTGTTCCCATTCCCATCGTTCCCGCCGTTCCCAGAGCTGCATCGACGACTCTCTCCCGCTGGTCCGGCTGCTCCTGGACCATCAAATCCCAATCCCAATCCCATTGTTCCCAATCCCATTGTTCCCATTGTTCCCATTCCCATTATTCCCATTCCCATTGTTCCCATTCCCATTGTTCCCATTGTTCCCATTGTTCCCATTCCCATTGTTCCTCTTCCCATTATTCCTGTTATTCCCATTCCCATTGTTCCCATTGTTCCCATTGTTCCCATTATTCCCATTATTCCCATTGTTCCCATTCCCGTTATTCCCTGTGGAATTCCCATTGTCATTCCCATTGTCATTCCCATTGTTCCCATTCCCGTTGTTCCCATTATCCCCATTGTTCCCATTCCCATTATTCCCATTGTTCCCATTGTTCCCATTGTTCCCATTGTTCCCATTGTTCCCATTCCCATTATTCCCATTCCCATTGTTCCCATTCCCATTGTTCCCATTGTTCCCATTGTTCCCATTCCCATTGTTCCCATTGTTCCCATTCCCATTATTCCCATTGTTCCCATTGTTCCCATTCCCGTTGTTCCCATTATCCCCATTGTTCTCATTCCCATTGTTCCCATTGTTCCCATTCCCGTTATTCCCTGTGGAATTCCCATTGTCATTCCCATTGTTCCCATTCCTGTTGCTCCCATTATTCCCATTGTTCCCTTGGTCATTCCCGTTGTTGTTCCCGTTGCCGTTCCCATTGTCATTCCTGGTGTTGTTCCCATTGTCATTCCCATTGTTCCCATTGTTCCCATTCCCGTTGTTCCTGTTCCCATTCCCGGTGTTGTTCCCATTGTCATTCCTGTTGTTCCCATTGTCATTCCCGTTGTTCCCGTTGTCGTTCCCAGTCCGGCTGTTCTCTCCGTCACCTCTCGCTGGCCGGGAACCACCTGAGGGACAGCGACGTCCTGGAGCTGGCGGGGTCAGGGACACCTGGGGACACCCTGGGGACACCTTGGGGACACCTGGGGACACCCTGGGGACACCTGGGGACACCTTGGGGACACCTGGGAACATCTGGGGACACCTTGGGGGCACCAAAACCCCCTTGGGGACACCTTGGGGACATCTGGGGACACCATAACCACCCTGGGGACACCCTGGGGACACCTGGGGACACCTGGGGACACCTGGGGACACCTTGGGGACACCTGGGGACACCTTGGGGACACCTGGGGACACCTGGGGACACCTTGGGGACACCTGGGGACACCTGGGGACACCTGGGGATATCTTGGGGACACCAAAACCCCACTGGGGACACCTTGGGGACACTTTGGGACACTTCGGGACACCAAAACCACCCTGGGGACACCTGGGGACACCTGGGAACACCAGAACCCTATTGAAGAAACCTTGGGGACACCAAAACCCCCTTGGGGACATCTGGGGACACTTTGGGGGCACCTGGGGACACCATGAGGACACCTGGGGACATTTTGGGGACACCAAAACCCCCTTGGGGACACGTTGGAGACACCTGGGAACATCTGGGGACACCTGAGGGACACCTTGGGAACATCTGGGGACACCAAAACCCTACTGAAGAAACCTTGGGGACACCTTGGGACATTTTGGGGACACCTTGGGGACACCTGGGGACACCAAAACCCCCCTGGGGACACCTGGGGACACCAAAAACACCCTGGGGACACCTGGGGACATTTTGGGGACACCAAAACTCCCTTGGGGACACCTGGGGACACCAAAACCCCACTGGGGACACCTTGGGGACACCTGGGGACACCAAAGCCACCTTGGGGACACCTGGGGACACCTTGGAGACACCTTGGGACAACTTGGGTATACCAAAGCCACCCTGGGGACACCTGGGGACACCAAAAACACCCTGGGGACACCTGGGGACACCAGAACCCTATTGAAGAAACCTTGGGGACACCAAAACCCCCTTGGGGACACTTTGGGGGCACCTGGGGACACCTGGGAACATCTGGGGACACCTGAGGGACACCTTGGGAACATCTGGGGGCACCAAAACCCTACTGAAGAAACCTTGGGGACACCTTGGGACATTTTGGGGACACCTTGGGGACACCTGGGGACACCAAAACCCCCCTGGGGACACCTGGGGACACCAAAAACACCCTGGGGACACTTTGGGGACACCTGGGGACACCAAAACCCTATTGAAGAAACCTTGGGGACATCTGAGGATACCTGGGGACATCTTGGGGACACCTGGGGACACAAAACCCCCTTGGGGACACCTGGGGACACCAAAACCCCACTGGGGACACTTTGGGGATATTGGGGACACCTTGGGGACACCTTGGGGACACCTTGGGGACACCTTGGGGACACCAAAACCCCCGTGGGGACACCTGGGGATATTGGGGACACCTGGGGACACCTTGGGGACACCTTGGGGACACCAAAACCCCCGTGGGAACACCTGGGGACACCTTGGGAACACCTGGGGACAACTTGGGGACAACAAAACCCCCCTGGGGACACCTTGGGGACACCAAAACCCTCCTGGGGACACCTGGGGACACCAAAAACACCCTGGGGACACCTTGGGCACATCTGGGGACACCTTGGGGACACCAAAACCCTATTGAAGAAACCTTGGGGACATCTGAGGATACCTGGGGACATCTTGGGGACACCTGGGGACACAAAACCCCCTTGGGGACACCTGGGGACACCAAAACCCCACTGGGGACACCTTGGGCACATCTGGGGACACCTTGGGGACACCAAAACCCTATTGAAGAAACCTTGGGGACACCTGGGGACACCAAAAACACCCTGGGGACATCTGGGGACATTTTGGGGACACCAAAACCCTCTTGGGGACACTTTGGGACACCTGGGGAGACCAAAAACACCCTGGGGACACCTGGGGACATTTTGGGGACACCTGGGGACACCTTGGGACATTTCGGGGACACCAAAACCCCCTTGGGGACACCTGGGGACATTTTGGGGACACCAAAACCCCCTTGGGGACACCTGGGGACATCCTGGGGACACCAAAACCCCCTTGGGGACATTTTGGGGACCCCAAAGTGGGAATTTTAGGAGAAAATGTTGGGAATTTTGGGTAAAAAAATCCAAATTTGGGGGGAAAATATCGGAAAACTGCGGGAAAATTTGGGAATTTTGGGGGGAAATTCGGGAATTTTGGGGAAAATTCGGGAATTTTTTGGAATTGGTGGGAAAATTTGGGAATTTTTTTGGGAAATATGGAAATTCTGGGGGAATTTTTGGGAATTTTGGGGGAAATTTGGGAATTTTGGGGAAAATTTTTTGGGATTTTTTTGCAATTTTTTTTGAAAATTTGGAAATTTTTTTGATAATTTGGGAATTTTTTAGGGAAAATTTAGGAATTTTGGGGAAAATTTGTGGGGAAATTTGGGAATTTTTTTGAATTTTGGGGAAAATTGGGATTTTTTTAGGGAAAATTTGGGAATTTTGGGGGAAATTTGGGAAAAAATTTGGGAACTTTGGGGAAAATTCGGGAATTTTTTGGAACTTGGGAGAAAATTTGGGAATTTTTTTGGAAAATCTGGGAATTTTTTGGAGAAATTTGGGAATTCTGGAGGAATTTTTGGGAAATTTGAGAGAAAATTGGGGAATTTAGGGGAGAAAATTGGGAATTTTGGGGGAATTTTTGGGAAATCTGGGGGAATTTGGGGAATTTTGGGGAATTTGGGGGAAATTTGGGATTTTTTTAATAATTTGGGAATTTTTTTAGGGAAAGTTTGGGAATTTTTTTTTGGAAAATTTGGGAATTTTGGGGAAAATTTGTGGAAAAATTGGGGAATTTTTTGGAATTTGGGGGAAAAATGGGAATTTTTTTGATAATTTGGGAATTTTTTAGGGAAAATTTGGGAATTTTGGGGGAAATTTTAGAACTTTGGGGAAAAATTGGGAATTTTTTGGAATTCGGGAGAAAATTTGGGAATTTTTTTGGAAAATCTGGGATTTTTTTGGAGACATTTGGGAATTCTGGGGGAATTTTTGGGAAATTGGGGGGAAAGTTTGGGAATTTAGGGGAGAATATTGGGAATTTTGGGGGAATTTTTGGGAAATCTGGGGGAAAATTTGGGAATTTTGGGGAATTTGGGGGAAAATTTGGGGGTTTTAAATTTGGGAAATTTTTGGAATTTGTGGGAAAATTTGGGATTTTTTTTGGAAATTTGGGAATTCTGGAGGAATTTTGGGGAAATCTGGGGGAAAATTTGGGAATTTGGGGGAATTTGGGGGAAATTTGGGATTTTTTTAATAATTTGGGAATTTTTTTAGGTAAAATTTGGGGATTTTTTAGGGAAAATTTGGGAATTTGGGAGAAAATTTGGGAATTCTTTTGGAAAATCTGGGATTTTTTTGGGAAATTTGGGAATTCTGGAGGAATTTTTGGGAAATTTGAGAGAAAATTTGGGAATTTAAGGGAGAAAATTGGGAATTTTGGGGAAAATTTGTGAATTTTTTGGAATTTGGGTAAAAATTTGGAATTTTTTGGGAAAATTTGGAATTTTTTTGGAAAAATTGGGAATTTTGGGGAAAATTTGGGAGAAAATTTGGGAACTTTGGGGAAAATTTGGGAATTTTTTGGAACTTGGGAGAAAATTTGTGAATTTTTTTTGAAAATCTGGGAATTTTTTGGAGAAATTTGGGAATTCTGGGGGAATTTTTGGGAAATTTGAGAGAAAATTGGGGAATTTAGGGGAGAAAATTGGGAATTTTGGGGGAATTTTTGGGAAATCTGGGGGAATTTGGGGAATTTTGGGGAATTTGGGGGAAAATTTGGGGGAAATTTGGGAAATTTTTGGAATTTGGGGGAAAATTTGGGATTTTTTTTGGAAATTTGGGAATTCTGGAGCAATTTTGGGGAAATCTGGGGAAAAATTGGGAATTTTGGGGAATTTGGGGGAAATTTGGGATTTTTTTAATAATTTGGGGATTTTTTAGGGAAAGTTTGGGAATTTTTTAGGGAAAATTTGGGAATTTTGGGGAAAATTTGTGGGGAAATTTGGGATTTTTTTTGAATTTTGGGGAAAATTGGGATTTTTTTAGGGAAAATTTGGGAATTTTGGGGGAAATTTGGGAAAAAATTTGGGAACTTCGGGGAAAATTCGGCAATTTT